TAGAGGTTCTTTTTCTTCGCCCCCATCCCCTTCCCTCCAAGTAGACCCAATCTCTCTCCGTCCTGTGCTTTATCACTTGATTTGTGTACATTGTGAGCTTGGCAGCGATCAGTGAAGTTTGCTTCACTGTATCTCGCTGTGCGATGATGATTGTCATCATGACTCCGTTTCGCGAAGCGTTGATCCAACGCACCTCTCGTCTAATGGTACAGGATTCTTCTGTCACTCATTTTGAATAATATTTTTAATCTAACGCATGATGTTATAATTCATTTTGGTTTTACCTTCACTTTATTTTGTCTTTCATGTAACTGGTGTAATTCTGTTTTTAGCTCATCATATAATTCAAGTCTATGTATCAATATATCGTGAATCACTTTGAAAAAGTGTCGGAATATGGAGATGTATATGGCTCTTTTTAATATCTGATTCCTCTCTCTAGGAAGTTTCACTGAACGGTATTCCTCCCATAGCTTGTCACTACATTGTGACGACGGTCAGTTACAACTCACAGAACGCCTCCCGCCAATTATACAGTAAGTCTCCTCTATTTGCTCGTTTCTGTGAATCCCACCAAGCGTTTGATATTTCGTACTCATCTATCTGTTTTTATTTTATCCTAACGTGTGATTACTCTTTCCTCTTATTCGTTCAGTCAAGTGGTCTGTGTGAGATCGGGACCTTCCCACGCTCTCCTGTCTTGTGGTCGCAGTCGACAGAGTGAACGAAACTCCTGTTTGGTCAGTGTTGGTCGAGTGACTGTAACTTTGCCTCATCATCCGGTCCGCTTACACGGGGTGATGCAACGCCAGGCGAAGCGAATCTCCTCCACCATGTTCGAGCTACTGCGTAGTTCGCCAGCTATGCGCACCAACTCACACTCGTTGTAAGTGGCTATTTCCTGTCTACGACACACCCAGTTGTAGTTCGCTTGTGTTAATTTAGTTGATGTGGAAGTTTTGGATACAGTCTTTTTTCAATCTGCCATGCCCACGTCAACATCGGCAATAGCCGTAGTGCAGTCAACGTGTCACTGGAATTCGATCTTCAACACATCTCCTCTCGGGGCAATGTCAGCCACGTTTTATTCAATATTTCTAAAACCTCGCTTCTTTCAGCTTCTTTAAGATCATTTATTCCCCCCCCCATTTATCTCTTGATTCCACTCAGATGCCTTCCATAGAGTCTGTTTCCCTTCTTGGTTTATCTATAACTTCCTCATTATACTGGCCCCCTTTCATAACTCAGTTTGCTTCTCGTGCTGCGCGCATGGTTGGTTTTTATTGCGTGCCATACGTTTTTTCAACCCCAGTTCATCTGCTTCTGTACAAAGCTCAAATCCGCCCTGCTCTCAAATATTGTAGGCACGTGTGGGATGGGGCTTCGTCTTCCCTTTCCCACCTTGATCGTGTTCAGCGAAACGCCATCCGGCTGATCGATAATCCTTCATTAACATCCTTTCTGCAGTCACTAGCCCATCGTCGGACAGTTGCGTCATTGCCCCTGCTCTACTCTTACAGCTTAGTTCTTCGGAACGTGCCCCAACAGTTCCTCTGTCTGCAACTTTTACCCTCTGATCCCGTACGCAGTCATCTAGTCATCATTGTCAGATTTCAGTTCTCTGCTTTAGTCTTCTCTTTCCCCCCTAACTGGCAAGTTGTGGAACACCCTCCCACTTCCTGTCTTCTACACAACTTACAACCTAATACTTTAAATGCAGAATCAATAAAATGGATCCTACGTGAATGTTCTCTTACTCTCCATTTTCACAGTATGCTTTTCTCCATGAGAATCTCCCGTTTTATTGTAAGTCACATCATTTGGAATGATATGGTTAACTTATAACATTCAAGTTCAATATGACTCAGACTTCGACGCAATCTGTGATGCTTACAAATGACATCACTGAAATAATCACCTCATAGCGTTTGATCCTCGCTGATTTGTAATTTGGGTAAGTCGGTGATTCAAAGTTCACGAAAATGGTATGATGTCAGTCCGGAACGTTATGAGACACAGTAAATATTGCAAGCTCCAGGTGAATCGGATCGAGGTGTGTATTTACCATCAACTGAGTTTTTACATGTATGGCTGTGATGAAAGTAAACCCCTGCTGAACAGACCATCCGTAACGACAAGCTGCTCTTCATTATCTGCGTTCAAGTAAACCCGATTCGCACAATAGCGGCTTGCGAACCATTGTTTATTCGTTTAATTAGCCTCTGTGATGTGATCCTAATGAAGTATAAAGCATGGATAAGATTACAAAAGGGGTTGATACGATGCTCTAAAGTCGAAACTTCGGTACCGGTGAGCAGCACGCACTTGAACCATTTTAGATGTCGAGATAAAAACGCTATTTACTGTTACCATAGTATTTCACCAATGTCTGAGTGTTCATTTGACCTTGATCAATTCCACAGGAACTTTGCAGAGAATACCATGGCTTCCACCGGTCGCATGGCAACCACTCCAACCACATGCAGTACGACGACAACAACCGCAAGTGATACAACCGGTCAAATGGGTCAGCCTAAACCTCCACATACCTTCGGCTCTCAAACATCCAACGTGCCGGTTCGTTTATCTACCTTGTCTTCGTCCTCGCCACCTCTGGTTTTCAGTCTACTGGCTGTTGCTCAAGGTTTGACCTTGAACGTAGCCTTACATCCCACCCTGACCGCCATCTATCATGTAAGTCAATTTTCTAACAAATGAGATCAGATTAGTGTTGTGTGTTGTGATATTTACACCTAGCGTACTTACTTTCTCCCTCTCTACTTTTTATCCTGCAATTTTCATCCCTGAAGATGGATCCAATTTACTTTGTTGGTCAGCTGGGACCTCGCGGACACGTGGACATTAATCTGACAGATCATTCGCTAAGCCTCAAGTCTTTGGTACGTGTTATTGTTGATATGGATAATAATAATTGGTAATAGACTTTTTCATAGCCCACTAATACCGAATGAAGGGAATAATGGTTGATTATTTGTTTGTTCTGAATCGTTTAAGTCCGTTCGACTAGCGGTTGCTTCCAAAATCTTTCCGTGACTATTGCTATGTAAACGCAGTGCTTTTTGCTCTTCCGTTTGCAGCGACCTCCGGTTAATTTCCCCCAATCCATTCGCCTCCCCTTACCTCGCATTGTGACCACCGTAGTCCGTCGTATTTCCTCCGGAGGCCGATATGCACGTGGTTTCCGCAAAGAGCCACTAATCACGGAAGGCTTGACAGCGGAGCAGGGTTTGTATTTGGATATCCAAGTCATGGTGAACACATTGGAGCAGACACTAACAACCGATATGCTCAACTACATTGTGGTTGTAGTCAAACTGTTCATGAGAGTAAGCAATATTTCTGTGGCCATGTTCTATCAGTTGGTTTAATCAATCGCCTCGGAATGAATACTTACCATCAAGTTCTGAATGAAGTTAGTTTCGGGCTTCTCATATAGCTCTGCCTGATTATGTCACATACCTGGTTACTCGGATAAGCTAAGCGGTTGGTACCTTTGGAAGTTTAACTTTGAATTATGTGTGGTACTCTTGCTTCATGCATTCTGATCTAGTGCTTGAGACTTTGGTGGTGGAAAACATCCCGCACGTAGATCGCTTGATTGTCCGTTCGAATATTAACGTTTAAAATGACACCTTACTTCAATGATTTCGGCGGTCGGGAACAATGATTTGGTGGCAGCGACCGCAAGTAGTCAGTTAGGCATAACACTGAGCTTTATTCACCATGGAAGTCAATAGTAAGTAAATTTTTGCAGTTGGTTATCGGCTTCGCTGTCATCCGGCGTGAAGTCATATATACTCCAGTTAAACCCTGTGCGGTTCTGCATTTCAAGTTTCTACATAGATTTTCTTTTCGTTTGGCTATCAGATCCAGCCATTCAGTTACTCTCCGTGCCAAGGTGTATATTGAGATATCATCAAAGTTGTTTCTACTTTCTGATCGTCCGTCCTACTTTCTCATTTTTCGTATAAAGGAAATCAATGAAGTAATTCAGAAAATGGCTGGCGAAGAGCAGTCTGTGAGAGGAGCTGCCCGCCCACGGCCATCCAGCTCCTCAGCCATGTCCAACCTGACTGGAACACCCAAGGCCACGGACACAGATTGGTTTTTGTCGCGGGCAGCACGCGGGAAGACAAAATTTACGATTCGGTAAGTAAATTTCGTCATTTGGGCCTGCTTTCTTCTAACTTCAGGGTAATAAACAGTTATCAGTAATGCTTGCTGGCTGTTGTTAGTAGTTTGAACCAGGAGTAGTTTGCTGTAAATCCGTTGGCAGTGCCCAAAGCCCCCAGTTCATTATTTCTGTTTGCACGTTTCGCATCTTCCATTTTAAATTGCATTGATCTATTGTGTTGTCGGTGCAGAGTAGCTATTAACTACACCAAAGTTATTATCCTTATTCTCAAGTTCATCGTGTACTAAGTTTGCCCCAGGTTTGTATATTCGTCTCCCATGAAACTCACTTCATTTCCACCTGTTTGATCATGTATCTGCTATTCGTTCCTTTTTGTTGTTTAAAGGATTCATATGAAGGAAATTCAGCTGATGGCAACTACACTCAGTGGGGCTATGAAGCTGGAGGCAAAGAAGATCGATGTCGAATTGACAAACAGAGTGTCACAAGCTTCCATAAATTCCAGCATTTTGACCTTCCAGAAAACATCCATGCCAGAAAACTCCACATCTCGCGGACCTCCCAGACCGTCCAATCTAAATCTGTGTTCCACATCCGTACCGCACTGGTCTTCATCAGTGGATCAAACTTACCCTTCTGAAGCCGGTAATATAATTATTTTGCTTCTAGAATCTTCTACTGCAGTCCGTTATTTTAACCAAGTTCAGCCTTCCCACTTATGCAACTGAATCCTGTTTAAGCATAAGTCAGTTCTCCAAATCTCTGTGACAGTGGTTGCCCATGCACCACGATCCATCTACATTGACATCCGCCGTAGAGAGATTTCAGACCCCAGTTCTCCACATCCGTCTTGATGCTGCTGCTGCATGTTTTTACACGGCATCTGAAGCGGCAGCGCCAACATATGCTTCTAATTAAGTGAAAACAGTATTTGGAACGACCACTTTCTGGTCACTGGAGATCACGACCGAATCACTAGAGGTGGCGTTGAAGAAATGACGATACTTTCTCTATTTTCCAGGAACGTTTTCTGAATGCAATATTTTATATTCTTTCTTTGGCACACTCTGAACGGGATGCGTAGACACTAAATATCAAAATATTTTAGTTTGCGATCTTCTTGGTCTCTGATCAGTCATGCTTTGCATTCCTAGCAGAGACGGTTTGATATGCACACATTTTTACGAACGCTTATGTGTGGTGTCAAAATGAAAATGATCTGATGATAGCGGAGAGCCTTGTCGAACTTTCGAGTTCGATCGAAGTTCCACGGACCGTTCTCCATTGAGGCGGACACGTAACGAGGTATCTTTGTGATTTTGGCTTGCAAAT